TCACTAAACCCCATTTTTCACGGGCTTTCATTTGGTATAAAATTCATGATATCTCCGATTCGAGATCATACTGTTACCCCCCTGGAATAATATTATTTACCACCCTGTATCAAGACCTATTTGTGTCGGTTTATGAACATCACGATAGAATGATAAATTTTGATATAGATCATCATCAAGTACTGGCACAGCTTTCATCTATAAGAAGAAAAAATACTGAGACTATAAAACCTATTGATTCAAAATAGTGTTACTTTTGGAATTGTACATTGCAAAGATTCTAAAGCAAATCGAGTACAATGAAAAATGTCTCTTACAATATTTTTTTACTGTGAGAATTATGTCCTTACCCATTGGTGAGTTCATGTTCATGTTGATATCAACAATTGGCGAAATCTGTGTATCATAACCTTTGTAAAACCAGTTTGTTCTCATTTCTTCTATTGTCCACTCATTTCCACCATACTCATTCTGAATTGTATCATATTCAATACTAAATGTTTCATGGAAACTGATTTCTGATTTCAAAATATCTACATGAACTAACTAGATGAAGATAAATTAGCATTAAAAGTATGTTTTACTTCGTAATTGTTCGGATAGATTAACTACATTAATTGTTTCTTCAAATAATGTTTTCACGTACACCAATTGGACGATGAGTTTTATCTTCATCAATTAACGACATTAAAAAAATATGTTGAAGATTAACTATATCTTCATTGTTTATTTTCCATTTCATTAAACATTCACGTTTGACCATTAATATGTGATTATTTCGAAAATAATTTGGAAAATCTTTTTGATTTATATCATCAAAATACTTTATATCTTTTTCAAGTTCTGATTGAGAAGAAAAAAGATTTTGTAAAAAATCTGCTTTATTTAAAATGATAGATGAAGGTACATGTGGTAATATTTTTAACTGATTAAGTAAATTCTCATCAACATCTGACTGATAATGTAACAATAACCAAATAGCATGAATTGGAAGTAAATTGTTGCGAATAAATTTTTGTACTTCATGCCAACTATGATCATTTGTTTCAAATGTTGATATTTTAATAAATGTTAAATGTTTATCTAAGTATTTTATTTGCTCATATTTTGTTCCAGATATAGTTTCATGTACAATATTTTCACCAATAATGGTTTTTATTAATGTTGTTCGACCACACTACCGATAGAGCCTAGCACAAGAATTTGACATGTGATGTTAGTACTCGTCATGTTATAACTTCTTTATCAGCTAAACAGAATCTAAAAATAATCGTGTTTATTAACAATTAATTAAAAGCTTGTCAAATTTTGAACGTGAAAGCATTAATTCCCCAGCAAAAAAAAGAAACTTCACAAGAACCTTCACACACATGTCCATTGACATACATACCCAACGTCACCTTTCAAATATAAAATCGATGAATATTTTCATTAGATAAATCAATATATTCATCACATAATAAGGTCGAACAACATAGAAAATGCATATCAAAGAACTTCATTATTAATATATTCGAACTAAAATCAGCTAAAGGACGTAGAAGAAATAATAACGTATGTGTGAATGCACTTTGAGAAAAAGTTGGATGTGAACCAAAGTTAAGTATAAGTGTAAATATTAAATAACATGAATCAAATGCAGCTAATA